CTTCGTCGAAACAGTTTTGGTGTTTTCGGCCAGGAAATACAAATGCTTAAATGGCGTTTGTGTGAGTGGCTATCCACAATCTCTCTTCTTCAAATTCCTCATTCTCCAGAATTTTGAAGTGTCCTACGTTGATACTTGTGTATTTGAGCGGTTGCCACCTACACCCAACTAGGTCCAGCGAGACTGCTTTTAATATCAGCATTGTTTGTATCTGAAGTCCGTCTCTGAGGTCTGACCTACAGCCTCGTATTCAAAATCACAGACGGTTGTCAGACCAAAATTCAGCATCTCTTTCCGTCTTTGTCACGGTTCGGTCACGGTGATTACGCCTTCTAAAGAGCACATGTTCCGGAGACAGCTACTTATGTGATGACGGTTGTACATGTAACACAACTTGGAGTTTCGTACACGCGACGATGAACTTGATACGATCATCCTTTCGATCTGACGGCGAGAAATACTGAAGTGGGATTTATTTTATTTTCATTAGTTTCCATTGCTCGTTTAAAGTCAATTGCAATTTTGAAATGTATGCCTAAATGTAATACTTCTTGTAGCGTTCTACGGGGATATAAGTCCTCTAATAATGTCTGACCGGCAGAAATGTCTTTATGATTTCGGAAGTCGTTTAGATTTCATCGTAGTATTTTGTGTACACATATCAACAGTGAATGATTTTGAAGGAAGTTGGGCAAATATTTACGCTGAAAATTATCTCTTCCACAATATGCATGGAGACACGAATTTCCTGGATCCGCTTTGACCAAAACTGCTTGCATTAAAACAGGCATCCACCATTAGGGTAGCACTATTTAATTTGTCACCTCCTACTGACGTCGAGGTTACTTAGATAGCTAATTAAGTTCTCTTAAACACCCGCAGGCGCCTTCACCGGCCACTTCAAGCAAACAACACACCCTGTCAAACGTACGATTCTGATTATATCATCCAGCAGGCTAAAATAAATAAGCATTTTTACGGCAATTTCAGGAAGACTTTTTTTCCAATGGCGATCCCCCTTATTATGTGACCTAACCAGTATAAGAATTACTGACTTCAAAAGGGTACACGTGAGTGCAATATTACGCCCGTTCCGTTAAAATGTGCGGAAAGTTGATAATCGCTTGAGGAGGTTTCTTACTTGGCTAGCGACTGTTATGGATATAAAATAATCACATCAGCTGGCACGCCGATGTATAACTTACGATTACGTCCAAAGAAGACATGCGCGCAACCGGAATTTTGTTCTTGGGCATAAAGGGCCTATCCTTCCCTTCCCCTTCGGGCTCATCACAATGTTCGGCAGCCAGTTCAGCATCTATTTGCTTCTCGAGGTGTACTACCTCTGGCACCTCCATTCCGAATTTTCCGCCAAGTCTACCCAATTCCAACAAGCAGACACTAACGCTGCGTAAACACTTTCTCGATACCAGGTCCTCCGTCTCGAAGAGGATGTAGTCAGGAAATCCTACTGAGCGACACCATTTAAGGAAGTTGGCTATATTGTCACGTGCCCAGAAGGAACCACCCGCGAGGTTCTGCCATTTATGTCCCCGCGAATGATAAGCTGGGGGTTCACTGGGAACGACAGCTTTGGCACCAGCAATGCGGACCCCGTGTAGGCGCTGCTTGCCACCCTTTTTGGAGCCTGATTTACTCTCAATCATGCGTCGGTGTAGTTCAGTTGCGTAGTGGCACAGAAGTGTGCCGTCAGAGATTTTGTCAAAGAAATTGTCCCCAGTCAGATCGCAGGCAAGATCCGGGACGAGATGAGACATCCACTCGGCGAGGTCCTCAGCCATTGCGGTCGAAAATTCGTCCTGCGTCCCCATGGTCTGGTCCTTAGAGGCAGATACAGGCGAAGACGGTGACATCTGTCCCCCGTTATTGTGGCTCTGTGAACAGACAACACAGCCTGAGCTAGTTACAGTTACCACACATCAGTTAACATTCCAATAACGGTGCTTGTCAGTAAATGCACCGCTACGTCACTAGATAAACGTGAGAATTCTCAATGTCTGTGGAAATAAGGTTGTCTAAAGCAGTCTAACTACCAATCTAAAACAATCTTTTTGAAAGCCACTGGGCTTCCACTGTGTGGGCGGCTGTGAAGTCGGTGTGACGCGTTATTCCTCACTTGGATAAGGGGCATATTTTGGCGCAAACTCCCGGAAGGAGGTGTCCATACAAAGCATTTTAGATCGGAGGCAATGAGCAAGTTCTGATTCCGTTACTCTTTAACTTATCATGGCTTGCGATAAATTCAGTTTGCGAATGACTGTCGGAAAACCACAGAGACTAAGCATAAACTCGGCAAAAGCGCACAAAAAGAATATGGTTTTCTGTCTTTTTTCATTATGAAAGGACATTGTGT